TTTACAATTTGCGGGCCACCCACTTGCTTCTTGTTTAATTTTAATAAATGTGTTCATCATTTCTGTGAATAATCCCCCTGATTTCCCATTATATTGTTCGGTTCTATAATCCCAAACTTCGTAAATTTTTAAAATTTCATACCCCTTTTCTAAAGCTTTCACAAGTTCATCCGAAACCCAAGTGCCCACAATGGCCCTATCCTCTACATCGTGACAGCATTCCTCTTGATTGAAACTTTTGGCACACGTCAGACACAAAGGGAACATTAATTTTTTATTTAATTTTATCGGAAGTACGGGGTGAAATAGATTTTGTGGAGGTAGTACCTTACATTTAATGATAGCGTCTATTTTGGAAATATCGAGATTTAAGCAGTCGTCCCCTATGATCACTTTAGGATGTCCGATCGGGAATTTCCCATATTTACAAACCCAGGGGTACAACGAGCAGATATCAATATACTTTATTTTCTCCCCTTCTTTCACGTTGTAGTAGGACTTGATGTTTCCAGTTCGTCCACCATAAAAGCTATCTCTCACATTTAACGGGGTGAAATTGATGAGCGGGTGTTCAAATACATACTTAGCAATGTCCTGGGTTTTATCTTGCTTAAATTCACATTCCCACTTCATTATGACCTCGTACCCTAATTCATTTAAACGAGTTATCTTGGAGCGAGTATTTTCATATCTTAAATTCATTGTTTCTCCGCTGTTATTGTATACAGGTTTGTCGCGATCGTTTTTAAAACATTTCACGCAGCCATGGTAGAAACACCCCATCATTTCAAATACCTGATTTGTTTCAGCACAAAACCCATCGACCGGTAAACCATCTAATACGATTTCTTTCCCTTTGGCGGCGTGCAAGATGTTAATTTCTCTGACTTTTTCCTCCCATATTAACCACTCAATTGCTATTTTTGATTGATTATCCCGATAACGATAGCCATTTCTCGGAATTAGACCAATGGTATCAGCTTTCAAAAAATTTCGGCGAAACAATTTATTACATGAACTGGCAATCGTGCAGGCTTCCGAAAATGGACAGATATTACCGGCTTGAATTAATAAATCTCTGAATTTTAAACAAGCCGTTGTTAGAATATTCACGTCTGATACGCAGTACGATACAATTTCTTTTTGCATATCAAAGACTTTGTCTTTGTTTTCATTATACCAAAGAATGAATTTTTCTCTATCTTCCGGCATCATTGTGTCCGGCCCATAGTACTGAATATCGGGATAAGGTCCTGTATAATACTGATTTTCAAGGGTATTAAAGTGATAAGGGAAATAACCCTTTCGAAAATTATCATTCAAACCAAATGCTTTAGGTAATTTCGATAGAGCCATTGGAAAATAGTTCAAGGAATCCAAAAATGTTACATTATCGATATACATAGAAATAATTTTAGACCCACGCATAATCAATTCGGGTTTCAATTCAGTTTTTGTTAAAATATAATTTAAAATAAATTGATGATCATATGCTTGCCCATTATGAGCCAAAACAATTACATGTTTGAATCTTTTCCTAATCTCTAAAATATAATAAACGAGCCTCTCAATAACATCGGAAAATTTTAAGATCTGCTGTCTTACGGCACAGTTGGTACAAATAATTTTTTCAAGCGGTTCATTTAAGCAAATCTCACACCTTTGATTAAAAACACATAAATTTGGTTCGTGTAAAGTTTGAAAGTCGCTAAATCTTTTATTTTGAGTGCATTCAAGGTCGTAGAAAATAAATAAAAAATCTCTTAAATTTGGGGTGATACTGTCAACAGGCATATAACAAAGATGATCATCTGGTCGGTTTTTCTTGCAGGTTTTACAGTAATACGAGTTACAAGTGTGTTCCATTCCTTCTCGGATTGTTTTATAACAAGTTTTACACTTAAACAATTTTTCACATACCGTTTTAAGTTCTTTAGGGGCTAGTTCTTTGTGTTTATTGAAACAAGTTTTAGAAACAAAATATCTACTGCAGTTGGGGCATTTTATGTGTTGTTCGCGATCACAGGGTGGAGCATGTTTGCAAGAGGAACAAACACCAATGCAACTGTGACCGAATTTATTGTTATATCCCACGTGACACTTATCACAAAAATAGCGACACACAAAAGCAGATGTGAGTGAGGCTATTACATTGTAATGATTATTACAATACAGTAAATTAATTTTTAGGGATGCGTCAGAATCACCTTCAAAAAGTATATCGCGCCACTTCGTCCCGTAATTGTAAACTACAATTTTAAAATTACTCAGATGCGATTGAAATTTTTGTAATTCAAGTAAACCTGCCCCATTTGCTCCTATTTCAACTTCAGCTTCTTGCATTAACAGTTTTGCTTTTTGGTATTGAATTTGCGCTCTGTCCTTGCGTATATTATGGTAGTCAGGATCACCGGTTGCTTTAGCTATAGCAACAACAAGAGCTCTCGGTAAACATAAATTATCTACATTTTTAATACAAACAATCCCTTGTCTCGCAGCGCATTCCTCCTCGAAACTGCTATATTTATTATTAGCCATTCTTCCTCTACCTAATGGAGGACGAACAATGGTCACTTCCAAACAAAACGTATCTGTACTCAACCCCACGGAATTTGATTGGTAGATAGAGGAAATTAGTTCCCATATATCATCAAAATGCACTGAATCGGCACGTTGAAACTTCAAATATCCCTCTCCGCGCGAAAATTTTTTGGAACAAAAGGTAAACCCTATCATATCTTCAGCAGAAATCTTATCGCAGGCGTACCTAACTATCTCCCGAATCGCGCCCTTAATCCATAATAGACTGTTTTCGTTAGGAGGTATTTGTTTTAATCTAAATTGAATAGATCGCCCTCTTAAACCAAATCGTTTAACGTTCTTTACAAACTCCCTTTCAATTATAAACTTAGCCATAGTTGTATTTTCTGTATAGGTACCTATAGTAAAGGTATGTGCCTAATAAAGTGAGTTTGCTAAAAGGATGCAAAACGGATAAACCCGGTTAGGTATTACTCTTAGACAAAGGAAATAAGAAAATGGACCGATTGATTTCTTTTCTTCTCCCCACCTGATCTGTTATAACAAAATTATTCGTGCTTCAATCGCCCTTTTCCTATGGCCAAGACGCTAAGAAATAATAATGAAATGGAACACCTTAATATTCTTTTGGAACAAAATTTAACAACAATGCGGATTATTACGTCCTTCACACTCGGCGTTCAACGCGTTACTGACAGAAGTCGTTGAAAATTTTCTTTTTATGATGAGAGAAAACGGATGACCACCTGTGTTTTATTAACAGCGCTGAAATAGCATTGTTTCCGTAGATATAATTGAGAGGTAATACGACGTTATAGAAGAGTTCTTAATTTTTGAAAAATTCAACTTATATTATTTGCACCGGCCACATTTGAAGGTATAGTTGCTACTTTCCAAACAAACCAATCGCAATTTTAATTATACCCACAATGAGAACACTCTGGATGCATACTGATGAAATGGAATGTTGGGAATGCACTTTTATGTAATACTAGTGATCACGTGGTATAATAAAAGATGATGCAATACTTATCTCAATTGTGTCGATTTTCGTAATAAGGGTACTTGTACTAGGGTTTTAAAGATTTGAACAATTAGTAGCAATAAGAATCATCAAATGTGCCTAATATAAATCAGTAGGTAACTTCGATGCGATGCTTAGGTAAGTGTAAAATAAATGCAAATGCACTTGCATTACATACATCTGTCACTTACGGCGCACAAGATGCAACTAAAAGGAATTATTGCAAAAGTCTATTTTTACAGTTAATGGGAGAAAGAAGGTAGCGAGTTTGCGACGTACACCTGATTTTTCTAAACATCGTATCGCAAATGATTGTGAGATTCAAGTGCTTTTTTTTTTCTTCCAGCCAAATTAATGGAGAATTCGGGTAAAGTAACGGCCGTATTCAACACATCAAAAACTGACGTAAGCTTCTTCCTACGCTGGATCCGACCTTCGAAAGCTGGATCCAGAAAAAATAGGCCACCCAAATTTCGGTGTGCCTAAAAGCCATCAAAATTCCCTACAGCCAAATTGCGCGAGGTTAGATGTCCAAAATAGCGATACCAAATCTCACCAACTAAAAGCTAAAAATAGCTATACGTCTCGTACACGTGCGCGCAAACCTCACTTTCGCCTGGCGCGACATGTGACTGTCTGGCTCAGGTGGCCCTTTAACTACTTTACACTTTTGCCGTTTATTCCTAGAGATCGTTTATACTTTATAATTTTGTATTGCTGTCTGTCGTCTGTCTGTTGGACTACACATCTCACTCACCAATAAAACGCCTCATTTATACGCTCATTGCATAAATAACTATTTGCGCATGCGCAGTGCCAACTTTTTTATTTATGGAAGCATTTAAATGAAATTTGATACATAGGCGCTTGGAACAAAGGAAAATCTAACGTTAGTTTCAAAATTTAGATTTGCGCATGCGCAGTTCCGACTCTCTTATTTAGAAAAGCATTGAAATGAAATTCTTCTTATAAACTGAAATTGAAGTAGCACGTCAAAAATGGATTGCACATTTGCAACGCTATCTTTCATATTTGTGGCCAGATTTTTACGATTTTAACAGAAAAGTTGCATCTTACAAATGGGAAATGAATGTAAGTGGAAATGCGCTTTTTGTAAATCGTTTACGATTACTTTTTAATTTGTTTTAAGTATCGACGTTCTTTTCTTCATTACAAAGAATATCCACTATCGAGAATTTGTTAGACTGCAACTACAAAAGCAGCATTTCATAAGAACTTTTACCTATTTTTTCCAATATGGCGGATTGACTACAGAGGTTATCTGCGTAGAAAAAGTTATTGTATCCATACTAAATAACCCAAAATAACGTTTTTTTAGCAGATAACCTGCACGTTAAGTTTAACGTTAGTGATACATCACAGCTGTATTGGAAAATGGATAGCGGGGTTCTATTCTTGATAATAGGTATCGAAATAAATTTTAACACCTAAAACACGTGTATTCATTTCTACATTCTCATTGTAAGTACATTCTTTTACATTTTTACTGTTGCGCATGTCTCAGATTCATGGGCGTAGCCACAGCCATGGCCTAATAAGAGTATATTAGGCTATGGCCACAGCTATCTGTGGCGTACCTAGCTATATTTCAATAAGCTGAATAATAATATAAGCAAAATAAGGTATTGATTTAGAGAAAGTTGATTTTCCAAAGTAAGGAACACTTGAGGTTTTTTTACAGTAAAAAGGATGAGCAGCTGGTGTTTTGCCTCATTTTATATTTATAACTCCAACTGGTTTTCCATCGTTGTTGAAGACGCGTCCGTAAATACCAAAAGTTAAAAGTGCATCCTGCTTGTCAACGGTACTAACGCTGACCTCCACGTGGTCGTCACCAACTTGCTGCCTGCAGAAAGTGTAGTTACTGACAGGTTTTAAATTATATTTCAACGACGCCGGTTGATCATGTGAATGTTGAGCCTGGAACACCCCTTTTATTTCAATTCTTCCAAAGGTCACCCCTTTGGGCGGTACGTCGAGTCTGTGTCCACAGGATGCTATGTCTTCATTTGTACACGCCACCAATCCGCATGCTCGTGTTCCCAATCGATCGTTTGCCGACAATTGCACGGTACCATGGTAAGCCACCATCCTATACGTAGTACTTCGATAAATAAATAGATCACATACATCATTTCTTACTTGTAAACGTAATTAGTTGGCTGAGTTGAGGTCAGTGAAATATCGAAGTTGCAACAAAATTTCCCACCACTGCATACGGTTTCGCGCACTTCTTTCTGGGTGAGATCTACCGCTTTCCAAGTGTAATTGGCCAAATTCTCTGTGCTCGTTATGAAACCATTTATGTCTTCTACCCGCTCAACATTTGAACTAGGCAAAATGTTGATCACCTGAAGTGAGATAAGCAAAGCGTGTTCTGGCTTTATCCCTAATTTTACCTGACAAGGATGAGGAGGTTTCCTTTTGGACACCTTCGGTACGTCGGAAATGATCATCTTGGAACCTTCGCTTCCTGTTAGGTACACCTTCGCAATATCGCCACCTGCGAAATAAATCGCCGTGCCACCGTTTCGAGAGGCCGGATCGTGGAGATTGGCGGACAGCATGTTGACTCCAGTAGAAATAGTGTATCCGTGGTGTATGCTCAAAGCTGAAATAGGGTAATGCAGCGAAGTAAAAAAGAGATGTATACTACTATACATTGAATGAATGGGAGATGAGAAAACCACGCGACTGGAAAGACGATGTCGGTAACTTCGGGATCTTCCAGAGTTGTTAGCGCTGGATTACGGAAGGTGATGTCAAAGCAAGTGAAAATACCAAAAGTGACGCCGAAATCAGTTTTAAATGTTACGCTCTCATTCGCTGCACGAAAGAAGATCTCGTTCAATAAATTAATCTTTCGAAACCTAAACAGATCTGTTGCGCTTAATGCACTGACGTGCTGGAAGTTTACCTGGCCACGACCACTCCATCTCGATCGAACACGACGTTGGTGTTGTAATAGACAGTCTTCTTGGTGTTCTCTTCGTAAAACCGCTCGGCTAAATTTACGACGACGTAAATTCTATTTTTTAAAGCGGAGCAGGAGAAAGACTTCAACGCCTGGAAGTTGTCCACTTAAAGCAGTACGAAACGTACTCACATTTACCTTAGAATAAATCCCATCATTTGATTTACAGGGACTGACGTTCGATGAAGGTTCAGGGACCGCAGTGCTGAACATCTCAACGCGTTCCTCGTATGTGATTACGTCATACCATCCTGTTAAACCATCCTCAGGGAAGACAATTATATCGCACTTCTATAATTTTAGGGTAAATACCAAGGGTTGCAAAGTGAAGGTATACCTGCAGTCCGGCCTCGTCTATATAGTCTAGATAATTACCAACGTTTTGGTACAATCGGTCCAAAGGTTCTTCAGCTGTTAGGTTCGGAGAGTAAGCCACGACGGCTGCTCGATATTTACCCTTAAAAAATTCTTTCTATAAAATACGATATCTAGACGTATTCCGCTATATAAGCAAATTTAATTGTGTTTAGTTCAGTGTTAACATCGATATCGAACTGATAAATTTGGGAATGAAATATGCGTGATTATAATGAATTGATTAATATTAATTAAAATAAAGCACGTACTAAATTTGCATTTACAATTGGCCCCTTTTATTAAAAAAAAAAAGAAATTCTTCTGATAATTCGGAGATATAGCTGGTATCCGCCATTAGTCGTAGGACTGTTTGAATGTATGCAACATAGTGTATATTAATTTATTAATTATTATCTTTCACAAGTATAAGACAACCAAACAAGGACAGCGTGTATAGAAAATATATAATTAAAAGAGATACAATGCTCTTCAGTTGCTTAGATCACACATATTAACAATATGATCTAAGCTATTGCGAGTAGGTAGGTACTCAAAAACAAGTTCAACTTGAAAAACCCTCTCAGCAAGTGTTTATGTACGCTACTGACTGCAGCAAATTTCAGCTTGCAGCTCTCTTCAGTTTGGTTAGGTTAGGCACGGTATGCATATCAAACGATGAAAATTTATTCTCCCACAGAGTTCAATAACCATGTTTCTTTCCATTAAGTATTAAGTACAAATGTGCGTATTAAGTTTATTTGGTGTGTTCCCGAATTACAGTGAAAAAAAGATAATGCTACACTTTCTCGAGTGAAAGATAGATCATTGATCAGCAGCGGCGTTCATTTCGAAAAAAAACTTCTAAAGTGTTATATAAGTGGAAGAATATTAAATACTTTATAAGTAATGGCTTACCTCATGAATGACTCCAGCCGCAAGAAGAAAATTAAGGCACAATATTACTATGATCTTCATTTTTCACTGATTAAAAAAACCTTTAGGTGTAGATGTAAAGGTACCTACGATAAATCGGTAAAACCAGAGAGATAACACAGTTAAAGCAAAAAATAAATTCCGTAATTTTTCTAGAATGAACTGCAATAATATTGACAAAGTCTAAACAAATAATGGCTCTTATCAATATTTACAGCAGCATCTCAAAATAATGAATCATAGTAGCAGGAGGTAATCGGGTATTCCCATTCTTGAGAAATGACGGGGATTCACTGATTTCTAAACTCAAGCTTACCACAGAACTTCGACTATTCGCGATTCAGTTTAGCACTAGAGGCGCTGGTGTAATTTACAGATGGCGTGGCGGCGGTTTCTAAACAGAGTTATTCGCTAGCAAGTTTTTATGTGAAATTCTACTAATTTTAAAGTGAATTGAGTGTATAAAGATTCACGTCGTATATATCTGCTATTTTTTCTTGTGTAATTGCACAGTTCACATTTAGAGAGCTTGGAAATATGCGTTAGAGGTTAGACGAATTATCCTTATTGTTAGTTGCATAATTGCACTGGTCACAATTAAAAGGTTTATACAGCAATCGTGAAGTCTTCGACTTTAACCGTTCTGCGCAGGCGCCGAGAACAGGGATTTTTGCGTAGGAAGCTTGGTAAAAAAAATCGGCGTGGAGTAATGTATCTAGCCCTTAAGTAACGTGCTGGCATAACGGGTTCCCAGTTTGTTTTTTTAAGTGGAATTACAGGTAGAAATCATTTTATGCTTTCTCGTACTAATTATTAATCTCAATCAATCAAATTTCGTGTCACAATTGGTTATTATTAACGAGCTCCTAGCGATTTTATAAGTTTGCGGCATCTGTCCGTCCGTCCGTAAGCACGATATCTCGGTAACGAATAGACCGATTACAATTGAAATTTTGTAGGTGGATTCTTTATCAAATTTGTAGATCGGAGTTCGTGAATTGGCAATGTAGCTCAAAAAATAAGGAAGGCCCGTTTGACATCTCTGTGAGTTATGAACCGAATTGAATGAAATTCAATATGCGTAATTATAGCTTTAGCCATATAAAAAACAATTCGAAAAAAGTTGAGCCTAATCGATCAGCATTTACAGTACTCAGGAGCTCGTTTTCTATATTTATTTACACGTTTGAGAGGTTCCACCCTGTATATACAACTTACGACGATACATACATTTTTGAGAGTTGGCAACCATGCAATTTCTAGGTGGGAAAAAGCTGCCTGTGCCATCTAAAAGGCACGAAGGGGGTTACGTTTGGCATCTTGTCTTGAATGGCGGTCATGTACACGTCGCTCCATAAATGTTTGTTGTTATTTTGTGTTATTTAATGCAGGTAGGAATTTTTGCATTTATATATATCGTATTTGTCTTTTGTATGCCACATTTTATATTTTTTGTGTTTCAATTCTAAGTATGTTTTTGAAATTTACTTGGTTTAACCGCAATCCATAATCACGTATGTGATACCGTTATGCTATTGTTTGTAATTGTTTACGTTTTTGGTGTAATGTTTGCTTAATTTATGTTTATTAATGTTGATTACTTGGTCTTGTCCCTGAAGTAACATCCATATAAGTTTTGATCATTTTACTTCAATATGTGAAAATTACCGATTCGTTTGATGTATGTACTGACTTGTTGTTTGTTACTAACAATTTTCTCCGTGAATGAAGCAGTCACGGGGGTGGTAAAACTGTAGTCAAAATTGAGCTACGACACCTAATTCCGCGATTGTCTTCGACATTCGACTGTAGGCTCGAAACACCGAAACCAGGGGCGGGTTACCTATCTTGCAGGAGCGGGATTACGCTAATCAAAGCTCTTCAGTTTAGAATCTATGTGCGATAAATGAGTGGCGATTCAATAATTTCCACATATCTTGTTTTTAGTTAAATTTACTTACAAGGCCATGTAATTTTCCATCTTCCTCTCAACAAAATGACTTTATTGCGCCAAAGATGAGTCACATCCTGTGTATTTCACCCTTTCTTATAATCTTGGTACCTGCTTGCCTGACCCATAATTTCCAAAACTTGTTTTTAACCTATATATGTTACCTATTGAAGTCTACATGCTACTTTTTGTGATGTTATAATTTTATGTTACGCATTCCCATCATTACAAACAATTAATTTTACTACACAATTTAATATTAATTTGACGGCTGGTTTTTCTTATTGGTAACTTCTTTTTTTTCCAGCCTATTTCTATTTTGTTTCGGTGAACTACCATTTTTAAAGTTTATTTTTGCAATTTAATTTATTTCGACTTAAATTTCCGAGCTTTGACAATCAATAATAATTGCGATAATTATTAAACAAACTTTTCACAATTTGAGTGTTTTATTTTACGTTCTTTCCCTACTGTGCTTCAGGTTAAAGCGTTGTCTACAACTAACGTAAGGGGCCCTGCCTTAGATGTTTGATCACGTGCCACTTTTCAAATTTAAGCGGGATCCTTATTTATTTATTTGCCGGGTTGACTTTATTTCTGTGTTCTGGTAGTGTGAAGTTAGCGTAGAACCTGGGGGTTAAGTACACTACACGTTTATTTACACTTTGCATTTAATGGTGATAACTGTTTATTGAAGCCTTTGTTTTGAGTAGCGTTACTGAATCATGATTATTCGTTTATAATGTTGAGATGCTCCACCCGTACAAACAACCTACATACGATGTTGCGCGCATTTTTGAAAAGTAGAAACCGCGCGACGTTTTAAAAGAAGGTAAAAGCTGTTTGCGCCGTTTCAAAATCGCGAAACGCTACTTATATTACGTCAATCTGGGTTTGAGCTGTCGTCGAGAGAGCATCGTTTAGTTTCAGTTTTTTTTTGTGTTTTGTGTTATTTAACGCAAGTAGTAATATTTGTATTTATTCATGTTCTTTGTATTGTGTATATAACCTTTTCTGTTTTTTTAAATAATTTTTAATTTCTGTTTTTGAGATTGATCACCAGTATTGAAAATTATTGTTTGAAACAGTTATCATTTTCGGTGTAAATGTTTGCTCAATTTCTGGTTATATTCACATTCACATGCATAGGAAATGCTATAACCAGAATAGTTAGAACATGTAAAGTTGATCTCGAATTTCAACTGTGGGTTTGAATATACCCAATAGGAACAAGTTACCCAATCAATGTGACCTAATGAAATTTCTCGGGTACCTACTGAGTGACTGTTCTTTTTATTGTATACTGTCAGGAATAGGGAATGCAATACCGGGATCCCGCAGTCTTTTTGCGGGATTAATCCCGTACGTAAATGGAAGCGGGATCCCGCGGGATTTGCGTGATTGCAGAATTTATCGACCAAGCTTACCCCCATACATTAGCAACTCTGCGAATTTGATTATTTCGCACATTTTTGTTGTTGCAGGTCATGCAATAATTACTCGCAAATCCGTGTCTGTTATTAACTTTGTTAAACGGCGAGTGAGTACGCAAATCGGACTTATTTTGCTACTGTTTTAAAACGCAGGAACCGTTATTCTTGTAGACAATATATCGGACTCCTCGATTGTTTATAAAAGAGTAGTAAAGTGGCTGTATGGAAATATTGCAACAAATATTCGCGAAATCCAGATAGACATGGAGGGGCCATAAAAGGTTACTCACCGGCGACAAGAAAAGACGGCGGATGTGATGCATTCTTTCCGCGAAATACAATGTGTTTTCTTGAGAATATTCCGTTAACTGTACAAAATTTCTTATTTCCGAATGTTTTTAAAATTTTACGGGATCCCGCAAATACCAGGATCGAAATTCTGCTGCGGGATTGCATTCCCTAGTCAGGAATGCCTTTTCCCAAAGTCATTTATTAATAGCGTAATCCAAACCTATCTTCCCTTTCATTAACTCCTCAACCGTCTGTGTGACTCAGTGGTAGAAAGTTGAGCTACACAGCCGGGAAGTCGCGTGTTCGAACCTGAGTTGAGGTGAATTTTTCAACTGTGGCAGAGATAGGAATTTGCTTAGATCAGTTTCGAGCATTCTGCCGGCTACTCCGAATTAGGTTTTCCTGCAGTTTTCCTTTCTTGATTACGACCGGATTTTGGTGAAATTTTAATAGTAGCACCTTTTAATAAAAGGAAATCGATGGATTATGTTGAACATGTAAAAAGCTGCTGCGCGCGCATGTGGAAAAGTAACGAAATGAGAAGTAAATACAACATGGGAAGGTGGTGGGTCGCAACAAAATGCTTTCGTGCGGAAAAGTTGAGTTATGAAGAAACTCATTTTTTATTTGTTTTAGTTTCTTTATTATCATTTTGTTAAACATAACGCTCAATAAGTGTTCATCATCTCGAGTTTTTATTGAGGAGAAAACACCAAAGAAACTCGTGCTCGCTCCGACGTACAAACACCAGTAGGTAACTAATATTTCGGTAAGTTCTTTTTCCTGAACTCGCCCGTGGTTAAAGTTTGCGTGCGGATGTTTACAAACACAAAAAAAACGAAGGCACCTCGGTTAAGAAACAAGTAAACCGCTCGACCGATAATTCACTAGTACCCAGGTAAGTACTTTTTATACCATTCCTAGATCGCCCACTAGAAAAACAGAAACGGAACGGGAATTCCGTCAGTGCCCGCACAACCTCGGTACTCTCCGCCGCGTTCTCTACCAATCGCAATTTACTATTCTTATCTGCGTAAACCGTGTCGTTCACAAATAACAAAACGATCCCAACGCAAACTGGGCGACACTCGCGTTGGTTCTCATTGCACCAACTCACCCTATTCAAACCCTTATGGCACTAAATATACGAAAAAGTATCTTAGTTACGAAGACGGTCTGTGTTGTGCTTCACTCCATTCGGGTGTTGCCACATTGTTAGGTGCCAGGAATGTTTTTCCTCTCATACGGTATACATTTGTGAAATCAACTCCCTGGCGAAAAGGAGTTCGAATCTGATTTATGCATAAAACATAAACATAACAGTTTGTTTGTGCAAAGGTGATTTAATCAATAGTTAGTAGTAGGAGAAAATGATCATTGCCACGTCCGCGTCCATATACCTACTTTATGACCGTAATTAACTGAGATATTTACATCATTTTCTTAATGCGTTACTACACAAACCTAATGATTTTCACTTATCAATTATTTACTCGCACCGCAATTGCCATACGCAGGTACCACAAATTGTACGCACGACTGCCATGGTGGTCGCAAACTGTATACCGTGTATCCTGAAGGACCTCGTATACGTTGGAAGTTTCTTTGGAATTCCATGTTTTGTTATATCGTGTGACCACAACTACTTGTACTCCAAAACTGATTTCCATTGGTCTATAAGATCAGTTATCACTTCCTTTGCTATTGCAATCACATTGCTTATAGGCACAATTTACCACGCAAGAGTTTCTTTAAGTGTCACCAGTAAAAATGAGAACCTAGTCGTGTGGGCATTTACATGCATGCACTTCCTGTCGTATTTGAGGGCCTGTATAACAGCATTAACAGTCCTGTTTTATACAAAACTCATACGAGCATGTGTGGCGGCGATAAACGATTGGCTCAAAGACTGGTATGACCTAACAGCGGAAGTCACAATGACCAAATCCACTGTGGAAAGACTACGATTGCAGATAATGGCCTGGCTCTTCGGCCATTTCGCAATATTTGGTATCTACATTACGAACACCGAAGAGAGAAATGCCCTTCTCGTGATAATGGATCTAGTCAGTTTTATCATTGACACAATCACGATACTTTGCTTTAGATACGCCGGAGTAATTTTTTTCACCATTTTTTACAGCCACCAACAAAACTTCAAAGTGTATTTCTTGAAAAACACGACCCTTAATAACAGAACGAAAGAATTCGTGCTTTTCTATACCAACTTAAGACGGTGTTTGCAATCCGCAGATAAGATTTTTGGGCCAATCGTTATTATTTGGTTATTAACATCTATGGCGATTAACGTAATTAACACTTTTGTGCTGGTTATGCTGCTTCTCGGAAAAATCCATTTTCAACCAAGCGTCACGGTTTTACCGGTTTATATACCACTAATTTTGGTTTTCAGCGCTATTGCCGTCATGGAAAATCTTCACAGAGTTGTAAGTTTATGAACCTTTTTACATTGCTTCTTATCATAACAAAAATCGATTTAAATAAAACGATTAAGGCAATGCATTACCTACTGACCATGCAAAAATCTAGAAACAAAACATTTGCTGTTTATGTTCAACTTTGTCATGTGTGCGAAATACTTTTTAGCGCATTTTTTAAGAGTTAAAAACAATGTGCTATTGTTTTCGTTTTGTCCGTCCGTCCGGACCCACTTTTGCCGTTTTGAACTACTTCTAGGGGAATGGTCCTAAAGTCCTGGAATTTTTTGCACATCCGTCGTTTGTGCTATTCATATGCCCTGTTCACTTAACGGACCCGAAGAAACGTATCTAGAAACATAAACCATGTATTTGGTCTATGCTAAAAATGTATAAAACAGGGAATACGTAGCGGTTTTCGTCTAATGATATCGAATATTGCAATTTACTAAAGTGCTTATATATTTGCAGAATGACGATCTACTGTCGTTTTTGTTCAAAGCCCCTCTCAGCAAGTTACCGAAGATAGAAATAGACGAAGTATGAACACTGATAAAATTTATATCAGAACTTGATATTTTCTTGCAGATTGAGATCCTTATAAAGCTTTTAATCATTAAAAAACCAGGCGTTACAGGAATGGGTCTATTCGTAATAGGATTAAAGACAATAACTTTGGTAATTTATTCTGCCAATTTACGGAAGCCTTGCTAATAGATCTGTTGTAGCTGTGCGGTATCATTATTACGTACGTGTTAGTTGCAGTTCAGTTCCAGTTGCAAGAATAATAGTGATTTAGGATTACCCCTTTATTTCTCTGAATCGTCAAATACTGGAGATCTTATTGATCGAGGCAGTTTATAGCTCTGAATTTGAATTTAATTTTCGACTCCACTCCAGTAATCCATACATTAAGATTTCAAGTTCAAGTTTAATTAATATATAAATGGACGGGTGACCCTTTTTGGGTTACATGAAAAATATAATTTAATTTTCTATACTAAAACTTTGAATATAACTATATTTTATATTCAAAGACTAAACGAAGTGTATAATCTACTGAGTTTTGTGTATGTTAGATAAGAGTATTGTAGATATGTCTAGCTATGATGTGAATACATGTTACATATAATATTGGGTCTGTTTATATTTGAACTTGGGTCCCATATCAAGCCCTGCAATTTTGGCTCACCATATAAATCTATATATATATACAATTGGACGTTTTGGGGAAAGGTTACAAAAACCGACATCTAATTTACATACCGAAAGTAACAGGCCACTTTCAGACATCGGTAGCAGAGCAGTTGGCTCGGACGGACGGGCGGACGGACGGAGAGTGGAATAGAATATCTAAAAAGACATCAAGTGAGCATAGCTTCGGTTACACATTACTTGAACACGATATCTCTATTAAGTCCTTTCGCCAAGGAATAAACGGTTAATTAAATCATACAGGGCAATCCACACCGGATAATCTCCTTCTTCGTGAAACATAAAATGAGTACTTATTATATTTAGTATTGTAAACTTTGCCCGCATGCACTTCAAGAGAAATAATTAGTGGTAGGTAACTGTAAACCAACAATGGCGCGAGAATGTCAATCCAGAAGGTATCTGAAGGTCCTGGAAATGGTACCTAGACTGAAGTTGTATTTAGAGATGAATGCCGCTAAGTAATTTTAACACTCCAGCAATTTACCTTTGCACGCACGAAACAGTTAAAAAAAGGCAGATTCATACACAAAGAATTGAAGTCAAACTAAACGAGTTTAAACATTGAAGGAACTGGGAAATATTAAACAAATCAAAATAAGGATAACACTTGAAGTGAAACCATTAAATAACAAACGAATCCAAGGGTTACAAAACCTGAAGTCAATAAAAGTCACAATAAAACGAAGAGTTACAATTCAAGTTAAGTACATTATTACCTTTTGTTATGGCACAAATATTACATGATAATATTAAAGTTGGAACAAAGTCAACTGGCCTCAGACTGAACGCAGAAAGCAGTGACGCTAAATTTTACAATGAACCTGTGAACCAATGAATTACAAAATGTAAAATCAGCAAAGCTAAATCAAGACACAATTTTCTACATATACAAATTAACATCGTTTCAAAATTGCTGATATAAGGAAAGGGTCCCCAAATATTTTTGAAGACGGGCCTCTAAAATGAAGTTACGCTACTGTGTACAGGCTTTTGTCTGTTGGTACGTTGGACCTTGGTGTTCTACCCATTACAAGCTCGCCGTGCGGTAGCTCAATAATCCTTAATTTGGGTCTTCGCATTTTGTTAAAATTCTCTTTACTATTTTTACGGCTGTTTCAATTTGACCGTTTGATTGGTGGTACAGCGGACTGATGGTGTTCCCTTACCTGTATTAAATAATCTGAAATTCCTACTGTGAATTTAAATCTTTTCTACAAAGAACTCAATAAATACGAAACTGAACAAAGAAATGGATATTTTGATAAGAACAAGTTTAGATCCAACTTCCGCTTCAGTTTAAAATTATTTTTATTGATCAGTAGAACACCGCCACCATGCGCCATCTTGGATTTTGTAACGTCACAAGGTCATGAACCCGGAATTTCCAAAGGTCATGACCCTTGGATTTCTCCATTTCTTAAACTTTGGTCCAAAGTCATACTCTTTGATGCCAGATCAAGGTTATGGCGGTGGATTAAGGTCTTGACCTTGGGATTTCCCTGGTCACGTCACAAGCTCGTTGCTTTTGGAATTTTAGCGTCACCGGGGAAATACCAAGGTCATGATTTGGGGGAAAACCTAAGATCATGAGTTATTATTCGGCTACCTTCCTGCATGTTAAGATTAGCGTATTACCAGTTTTATTAATTTCTCACCATTTAACTAAAGTTACGCGAATATTGTAATAACTGTGCATTTTTTTCTTGTGTGAGTATTGTGTGTAAACTTGAAAAACTAGGATAACGTTGTATGTAAGTACAGAACCTTTGTTTATTATTATGATTTAACGCGGTTGCTTTTCCTCTTTGTAAGATTAGAAGAGCATAAAAGTCGTTTAGGTTTTGTATTGCAGCCGCACTTTCCCTCGTCTTACCGAGAAAATACAAGGGTCACGATCTTGTGACGTAACCAAGGAACCCAAGGCCATGAACTTCGACCAAAGCTCAAGGCAACGACCTGGGGAGAAAATTCCGAGGTAATAATCTTGGGAAATCCCATAGTCATAGCCTTGAGAAAGTCCCAAGGTCATAACCATGTGGGATCACCAAATCCAAGATGGCACATGGTGTCGGTGTTCTACTTTTATCACTTGATTATTCTTTAACTGTGAATTCTGGAATTCTAAATCGTGACGACTTCTATTTGAATAACCACGAAATAAAAATACACGTAACTTTCCTCACACCTTACGTGTAATAAATTTGAGCCCCTTTACACGGAAATTCTTACTGACTAAAACAAATGAAACCCTTAAATGGAAATTACATAAAAAACTAAATCCTTACTAATTGAGTCCCTTGGTAATAATTTTTGATATAATAATTAATTAGCCAATTCGCAGATTAGTACCTACGACCGAAATAAAAACTAATTCTGCATTATTAAACTCAATGAAAAATTCACTTATTAATCAAAGTCCCCAAAAAGGATTATATACGAAGCAAGTAGAAAACTTACAGTACCTCTTAAATAGTTGATGACTTTAGAATCGGTACGGTCCTTCGTGTAGAGATTATACTTTTTAAACTTCCCTAGCTTAATGGATTGTGAATCGAAGGTAGGACTGCAGTTGAGATGGCCGTCTGATCAAATTTCCAGAGTGGTTCTTTTTATTGTGTGCTGTAAAGAAGAGTTCGGTTCCCAATGTCATTTATTAATTGTAAAACAAATTAATACGGTCACTGATTCTCACTATTCCGAGAACTCGTAACTTTCGAAAGGGAAAAAAAGTATAATTCTACACCAAATTTATATTGATTTATCGCAAACGTTCATTTGCGATAAAGGTTGATTTTCTGTAACTGTCACATTAAACCTTTCTACGTAATTTCATGCGAAACGAGTTTATTCTTTATTAACTGTAATTAACTAACTTTCTGAGATTTTGATATGCGTAATTGCGTAAACTTGCGCTCAAAAAACCATATTTCCACTTGAGCACTCATACGACCCAAAAAGAATGCCCGAAAAAACAAACTTTATTTTTTGTACCCAATACTTTACGTTCTCAGGGTAAGAAAATCCCAATTAGACTTACCTCTACTCTCTCTACCACGGCCAAAACCCGAATGCCAGAAATATCCTTCTATTAACCCCTATCTATCTTTCCTAATTAATTGATGCCTCAAAATGGCGCTTTGTTAATGAAATCAGCCATTTCTAATCATTAACTTATTTGATTGGTTTAAAACCTACACAATTACGCTAGATCTCAAGTCATAACTCACTATCCCATTTGCTCAAGTTTGCGATTCGGTTTTTCTCTGTTTTTTTGCAGTGAAGTCATCGGCAATTACGTATCTCGAACTAAGTGACGCATAAAAAAATTATCGCCAATTTTACCAAGTATTTACCGATTTAAACCTTAAGATGACAAACCCTTTAGTTTTTTTGACACCCTGTATACCTTCTACTACCTAATTTTTAAAAGAGAGAGGGTCAAATATCGATGAGTGTTTTGAGTCCTGAAATCTAAGCAGAACTGAAGATCAATCACGTTGATTAAATTCAACGGTATGCTCTGAAGGAATTTGAATTATTAACGAGCGAGTGTATAATTTTGCGGTGTCGGTCCGTCTGTCCGTTAGCACAATATCTCAAAAACGAATGGACCGATTACAATGAAATTTTGCAGGTGGATTCTTTATCAAATTTTTAGATCGAAGTTCGTGAATTGACAATGTAGACCAAAAAATAAAGTAGGCCCTTTTGACATCTCCGTTAGTTTGCAAGAAATTCAATATGCGCATAGCTTTAGCCATATAAAGCGCAATTACAAATGTTGAGCCTAATCGATCAACATGCACAGTGCCCTTTTCGCATGTCGACCATTTACAGACCCAATTGCAAACTTTTTCTTATTTATGAAGGTATTTAAATGAAATTTGACATAACCACTTGTATTGGAATAAAAGCAAATTTAACGCCAGTTTCAAAATTTCGTTTTGCGCATGCGCAGTGCCAACTTTCTTATTTATGGAGGGATTTAAATGAAATTTGATACATAGCCACCTGGAATAAATCTAAACTTAACGCCAGTTTCAACATTTGGTTTTGCACATGAGCAGTGCCAACTTTCTTATTTATGGAAGCAATTAAATGAAATTTCATACATATACACTTAAAAAAAAGCAAAACTAACATCAGGTTTAAAATTTGGTTTTGCACATGCTATAGCCATATCCAGGAGCTCGTTTGCTATATTTGTTTAATTTATTTGATTTGCGCATAAAACAAAATTTTAAGACACGTTAACGCTTACGTAAGTTTTTATTTATGAGGAGATGTAATCAATAGTTTTCGACTAGACAATGATTTGAGTCATTTCCACGTGAGGTCTAATGACCGTATACTTATGACTGAAATTAACTGGAATATTTACATACCATTCGTTTCACATTCCCTTAATGCATACCTACCACACAAGCATAATGATAACCGCTTATTAGACGGCAAATACCTACGTACCACGCATTGTACCTACTCACGACGCCATGGTGGCCTCAAACTGCATACCGTGTATCTGGAAAGACCTCGTATACGTTGGAAGTTTATTTGGAATTCCATGTTTTGTTATATCGTGTGAACATAGCGACTTGTACTCCAGAACCGATTTCGATTTGTCTATAAGATCAGTAATCACTTCCTTTGTTATTGCAATCACACTGCTTATAGGCACCATTTACCACGCAAAAGTTTCTTTAAGTGTCACCAGTAAAAATGAGAACCTAGT